TATCTATCTATATCTATCTATCTATCTATCTATCTATCTATCTATCTATCTATCTATCTATCATCTATCTATCTATCTATCATCATCTATCTATCTATCTATCTATCTATCTATCTATCATCTATCATCTCTCTATCTATCTATCATCTATCTATCTATCATCTATCTATCTATCATCTATCTATCATCATCTATCTATCTATCATCTATCATCTATCATCATCTATCTATCTATCATCTATCTATCTATCATCTATCTATCATCTATCTATCATCTATCTATATCTATCATCTATCTATCATTTATCTATCATCTATCATCTATCTATCTCTATACCATCTCTATCTTTATTTCTATCTCTATCTATCATCTCTATCTCTATCATCTCTATGTCTCTATCATCTCTATCTCTCTATTTCTATATCTCTATATCTATCATCCATAGCTATATCTGTATCTATATCTATATATCACCTTATATCTATATCTGTTTTCATATCTATCTATCTATATTATCTATCTACATATCCATAGACTCAGCCATATCCATATCTCCATACACAGTATATGCACATACTTCACATTGCCTTATTCATTTAACACATTTGTTGAGCCCTGCAGAGAACATTGCTGGGAGCCTTACCAGCATCAAACTCCTCCCTCAGGGTGGCCACCCAGTGGCCTAAATTAACCAGTATAATCCCCAAGTGATTGATTTGGGTCTGGGCATTTGTCCATATATAAACCCACCAATGCTTGGCATTGCATGACCAAAGTGATTATTTCATGGGTGGGCATGTAACCTGAATTAAACCAGAGTAAAGCCCAGGGGGTTTACTCAGTGGTTGGTAACTGTGGGGAACTGATGAAACTCTGGAATAACTGCAGCCATTCTGTCATCATGAGGGAGGGAAGCTTGAGGACTTTGTCAACACATTGAGAAGGACATGCAGAGAGGATCACAGAGAAATGGAGCAGGAACACTAATTAAACTGTTCCAGTGAATTAGCCCCATCTCTGGCCTCTTCCATTGTATAAGTCAGTTTGAACTGCATTTTCCGTTACTTGCAGTTGACTAAAACAAGTGCTAGGACACTGGGGATTCAGTGGTGAACAAGATAGTGCCTACTCTTCTGAGTTTACGTTTCAGTGGAAGGAGGTAGATAAACAAATAAACAAGATAATTTCATTCAATGTTACATGTTGTAAAAGAAACGGGGGACTTGCAACTTTCCATTAGGTAGTCAGGGGAGGCGACACAAGAGTTGTGACCTAAAGGGTTAGAAAAAACCAGCCCTAGAAAGATCTGTGGGAGAGGGCACCAGGCAGAGGGAACAGCTAATGCAAAGCTGTGAAGTGGAAGTGATGAAGATGGGAGGTTTGGGGAACAGAAAGATTCCACAGGCTGGCGAATGTTGAGTAAGAGGGGAGGGAATGAAATGAAGGTAAGTGCCTTCACTTGTAGGCTGTGTATAAAGTCTGGATCTTACTCTGAGTAAGACTGACAGCTATATGGAGGATTTTGAGCAGAGGTACGGCATACTTGATCCAATTTATATATGTGTGTGTATATATGTGTTTGTGTGTGTGTGTGTATACTTTTTATTGGGGTGACATTGCTTAATAAAATTATATTTCAAGAGTACAATTCTATAATACATTATCTGTATATTGTATTGTGTTCACCACCCCACATCAAGTCTCCTTCCATCACCATTTATCCTCCTTTACCGTCTTTTACCTCCCACCACCTCCCTTCCCCTCCGGTAATCACCATACTGTTGTCTGTGTCTATGAGTTTGTTTATTTAATCCTTTCACCTTTTCCACCCAGCCCTGCAACTTCCCTCCCCTCTGTCAGCTGTCAGTCTGTTCTCTGAGTTTATTTTGTTTATTATGATCTAGTATTTTTAAAGGCATCTTCAAGCTGCTTTATGGTGAAATGACTACAGGAGCAAGAAGAGCAGCAAAGAGCAGTTAGAGGCACCGGGCAAGGAGTGAAGCTCGTCTAGACCCAGGCGGTAGCAGTGAATAATAGAAATTATACTTCAAAGTGGACAGATACAGGGAGTGTAGTTTCTATTATTCATTCCCTCAGGGCAGCTGGGTGTTTCTTTGGAGGGACACATCAACTGAGCCACCAGGGTGTGAACAATGCTCTCCACCAAAATCCTGTATTTTCTAAAAGGGTTAACCAAAATGCAACTTTTCTTGGGCAAAACAGTAGGGTGTATGTGAAATGAAGTGGGAAGATGTAAGCAGTGAGAGGAAAAATATTTAGGGGCAAGGGAGTCACATTATTGAAAAAGCAGATATGCCTAGGAAATCATTTCTGGTTTGTTCCATTACTTTCTTTACTTTGGAAACCAGATTCACCTAAACTGTGTTAGGTTTTCCCTCTCTCCAAAGACCACAGCAGTGAGGATTTCAAATAAGGGGAAGGCATCAGAGGGGCAGCACGGCCATTTCTTGGCAAGCCTAAGTTGTTTCTAAGCAGGCTGTCCCCTGTACTACAGTTTTCATTTAACATAATTCATTAACAGTGAAGCAAAGTCTAAAGGTCTCCTGATTTTAAACTGAACCTTCAATATAGCATTATACAGGATTCTACCTTTACCTAATAAAGTGCCTATTTCAGGCCTGCTTTATACAAATATCTTCAAGTACAACATTAAAAACACACATACACAATTCTCAAAACATTCATACACAATTCTTAAACCCTAGTAGAGGTTCTCAAACTGGCTGTATCAGATCACAGCCTGTTACAAATATGTATTCCTGGGTCCCGCCCCGAAAAGTTCTGACTCAGTAGATCTGGGTTAGGTCTGGGCAGTAAATCCTATAAGGTGATTCTAATGGTTTCTAAAATGTCATTACTTGTGTACTGAGTTCCCTGGACATTTTATAATCTATTTTTGTATATAAATACAATTGTATATAATCTGTATATTTTGACACCACGGTATCTTTTTGGAAGTGGGTAGGATTTATTAATAACTAACTGAATCCCTCAGAAGCACAGAAAGGAACTAGAATGAGTACAATCAGCAGGTAGCTAGAGAAGAGGACAAAGAACACTGGTATGAGGGGTAGTATGCTAGACATCACCAGGAATTGACTCCTGCCATCATTAATTAGCCACGTGTATTTCTCCATCTTCTTTAGTTATTTGAAGCCCATCCACCCTCAGATGAATTTTTCAAAAAGCCACAGGGCAAGGAGCTCCTTTCTTTTCCCCACTGCCATACAAATTCTGATAGCCCCATCACAGACGAAGTCTAACTGGCCCTTCCTAAGTACCCCTCACATCCCTCCATGTTTGAGCACTCTGGTCTACATTTACTGCATAAAAGCTTACCCTTGACAGCTCTGTACATATTCTATATGGTATAAACAGAGAGGCAAACAAATGTTTAAAAAACCCAATTTAATAAAGTTACTATTAACTGAATTAGGACACATCAAAGAGGCATTACAAACACCTTTTTAATGACAATAGATGGTAAATTTATACAAATTACAGGCTAGAACATAATGAATACAAAAATCCATCCAGGTAACAGTTTAAAAAAATCACTTAACAAAAGAAAACCTGATTCAAGTGGCTAAAGAACTCAAGCCCCCTATTTTCATAATTACACATAGCTTTCAACGTAGCACATTAAAGCCTGCCCCTAGTCCAGACTATAGCAATATTCAATGACTCTAATGATTTAAAGATTCTAACACTTTTAAGCACTGATGTCAAGACATCAGGTGAAAGGTTCACTATGCAAAACTCAAACAAGAATATGTGAACATTCTTTGCAAACTGTAAGGTGCTGTGCAGATGTTGTTAGCTATTGCTATTATTACTGTTCAGTGAGATTTCACTGAACCTGAGAAAAAGGAAGACTAGTCTGTGTAACTGACAAATGACTTGTAGAACATCTTAAAAGGAACACAGATATTATTTTTGTAAGTACACATGGCAACAAAACAGGCACGAAAAGCAAGGCCAGGAATGATGACTATTCCTGACTATTTTAATAAATTCCAGACTATTTTAACAAATATATAAGGGTTTAAGCTACTCATAGATTACATGTAATATTAATCATTAGGTTCTCAAAGTCGCTGAAAATAATTTATTTTCTCAGACGACCCTTTTCCCCTGCAAATAAGAAATAAAAATCTTGCCAAGTTATTAATATGCCACTTCAGTCCAGCTCTTGCAAAATTTATCTTAAATATAAGTTGAGTCTGAATTAATAAAGTTGTACTACTTTGGTGGAGGAGGCAGAGTGCTTGACGGCAGAGAAATCCACTGCTGACCTAACACAAGTGACAAAGTTGGTACCATAGCTGAACCATTTTTAAAATGGCCCTAACAACAGTCTACAATCTCACTTGAGCATGAAACAATAAACATGAACTTGTCTGGAGACAAGAAATACTCACTAGATACTGCAGAAATAGGATTTCAATCCTTTATTTCATGTACCTTCAGCTTTCATCTTTCCTTGGGCACTCTTTATCTATTTTACTATTTTTACTGGTCTCCTTGGGCACTTTAGATGTATACATAAAACTTATGTGAAAATGGAAAATAAACTTATGTGAAAATGGAAAAATGACTTGTTCCACCAAACAAGTCAATCAGTTGCCTCTTTTGGCAAAGCTGATGAGATTTTAAGATTAAAAGTCCAATTATTACAATGCATTTCAGTTAGATTCCCAGGAAACACAGTTTTGTTTTGTTTTTTAATGAAATGTTTACATTTCCTCAGTAATAACTCAAAACTACTTTGCTGCTACACGTAAAATGGTATCCACTTGAAAAGCTAATGGCATCAGATGCATTCTACAGCAGACTTTCAGTTATAAGCACAATGAGGAAAAGAGATTATATTCGGGGGGGGGAGCAAATGGAGAAGAGTAAGGTACTGTGTTACAGTAAATGGGGTTAAATCAGTACTTTGTACTGACATTTCAAGTTACACTTCCTAATTGAGGTTATTCTTACAATTAGTTTTCAAACAATAGCGAACATATTCCTATCTTAAAACATTTATAAGGGCTCAATTGTAATTTTCCTTTCTATACATCCTGAAGTATATATACTGTGCAACAGAAAACCAGTGAAAAATAAATCTGTTGTCAAATACCATGTTATTTCAACTGTAGCAAACTAGCAAGTTAACAGCTGAAACCCCAGGGAAAAATCAACTGGTTTGAAAACAAGTCTATACTGTAATAATTCTAAATATCAACACTAGCATCCAAGTCTAAATTTCAAAAACTTGGTAATTATTCCAAGAGGAAATTACAATTGCTTTTGCATGAATCCCTGGTTTAAATACTTGCAGAAAAATACCCATATCATTATCTACTCAGCAAAAGTCTGAAATCAAACAAAATAATCCAACATTGGACATTAACATTTTACAAATAGCATAACATCCCAAAAGTACAAGAAAAACCTTGGCATTACAGAAAAAAAAAAAGTAGGTGGACAACAATTCTAAGTACAACAAAGAGGGAACCATCTAGAAATCTACCACACAATACCTCAGACTCAAACAGGGGTATTCTATAATTTTATATTAAATTTGTACAATTTTATACTAAAACTGTAGTTTTTTTAAGAAAACACTTTAATTTAGAATAACTGCTTATAGAAGACATTTAAACCATAGACAACATTTAACTAAGCAAGAATCCAATTCTACATTAAAAATAGGGGTAAACAAACAAATTGGTAATGACAAACACAGCAAGGGCCACTGTATTAGGAATTAACAGGAAATTTGAACAATGATATACCTACAGATACAAGAATAAAGGTAGAATGTAGGGGGTTTTTTGTTTTGTTTAAGAAAATGGTCACTAATCACGCACATGAAAAAAACACACATAGTGTCAGGAAAAGTTGGCAGAATTTGAACTTAATCCAAACTTTTAATAAGTATCAAACTAGCACTAAGAAATGCACACAGGATGTAAACCAAAACAGTGGTTATCTCCAGTTGGCAAAATTACAGGGAATTTAAATTTTCTTCTTGTTTTAATATGCATGTTTTTAGATTGCATACAAGTAGTACCAAGTGGCTAGAAAGAAAACAGACTAAAGATACTAAAATAAAAACACAGTCTTTTTCTATCAGAAAGGGCCTCAAGAATTAGCTAATTATACATATCTGGGATTTAACAACTCCGATTAAAAAGACTAGACTAGAAATCCCAAGAATACTTCCTGGGTGATAAAAACAATCTATTTCAGGACTGTTCACACTCCCTAAGTATGCAAAAATAAACATTTAAATGTAAATTCTTATCATATACAATATTAAAAAAAAAACAGTAGGAAAAACAAATTTAAAGGGAATTTACACAAATCTGATAATTAAAGAGTAACTTCATTGTTGAGCAAGAGCAAAAGAGATTATTAAAGAGTTGTTCTGAAAGCACAGGCTAGCCTGCAAGAAGGCAGCTAGCTCTGCTTTGCTATTGAGATCCTTCAATAAACCAGTTCATGTAAGATGGGTGGAATTCAGCCAAGTTTCCCCATGAAATAATGTAATGAAAGATTGCTACTGACTAGATATTACACTTATTTGAAATTTCTCAGTGACATTCAGAATAATTCCAGCATTCATAATTTAAGCAATTTTCCATAGGAATTTATAACCCAAAATCCAATGACCTGGTATTTTCATGATAGTTAGGGAAAGTATTTCAGCAAAAAATAAAATTTAGATTTGTTTCACTATGTACCTATTAATATATCCAGAAAAGTAAAACTCAAAGCCAACTAAAAGACAAAATGCTATAAAACATTTTTTGTTATAAAATAATCAGTCTTCTCAGAATAATTATTTGTAATCAATTTAATTTTTCCAAATTCTCATTTGCAAATGAGAGGCTTATGCAGTTAAAATTGATGCTGCAAACCACTGTATTAGAAGGATCAAAATTTACATTAGTTAAACATGACTCCTTAAGATAGATTTTAACATGTTCTTTCAACATTATTGAAATAATCAGCATCCCGGATGCATTTGACATTTTTAAAACTTAATTTAATGCTATCAAAAGGTGATGTTCACTTTAATCCTGTTTGCCTTCACGCCACTGTCGTGAGCCTTCATTCCAGGCCACATAGACAAAGAGGGCCAGCACCACGTGGACAGCAATCACTGCAACAATAGCAGCATAAAAATAGCTGTCCCTATTGGACATCCCAAAGGCACCTATCAAGAGAAAAAAGTTTTCACTTTATTCCAAAATTTATCACAGTACAAAAAACAAAGCATACTAATTTTTATTAGCTATGTATTTACTTAATTAATCAGGGAATTAAAAAGTAACACTTTGGGTGGTGATAAAATAAGTATTCACTTAAAGATTTGAATACCTTCTATACACGAAAAACTATTTTGAATGAGAACTGTAATTATCACTTCATCTAAGGACTCTGACACAAAAAAGGGACTTTATTTCCTTTTCCTTCCAATGTCTGTCACCAAAGGTTCATTCCCCCAAATTTCTCCTCCCATGTTGGTCAATTTTTGCTCTCAAAGGGATATTAAAAGAAAGGATCTGCAAGCTATTTCACAGAAAACCATACATGATTATGATGACAAGCTAAAATAACTATGAGTGATGAAAATGTTCATTTCAGGAATTAAGACTCATGAGCAACATTATATCTGAAAAGCAAAACAGACTAAAGACACTAATTTTAGAATACCTAGTTTACATCTATAAAGAGGTCATAAAGCACAGAACATTAAATACAGTAGTATGTCTATAAAAATACGATTACCTTCAAAAACATAAGATTTAGTGGTGAAATATAACCCAATAGGTACAGTGATCATTAAAGCTGTGAAGAACAGCAGAGTCTTCAGGGTAGATGCTAATGAACTTTCATTTCTGGAATAAAGTAAACAAGAGAAAATCAGAACTTGCACAGCCACTTCCAACCCTTCTTGTGTCTATAAACACTATAAATACTCACAGAGAAGATTCTGGAAACCCTGCTCCTGCCTTGGAAGCAGTGGCCAGAGGAAGAAGAGCAGAGTCAGGGACTCAAAATTGAAAGATCTTAGAGACCCAGCTGCAGGCCCATCTCCAAGAGACTGTCATTCATATCCAGTGTGAGAGGAAGTATCAAAGTGTGAAAGTAGTTTGTAATCTCCAAAGTGCTATGCAAATGTACACTGTAATTATAGAATTTACAATGGAGGTAGCAAGGGAGAAGATACATAGAAAACAACTAATGGCTAGGTGAACACAGTACAAACAAGGTATGAGAATCTCCAAATGAAAAGTCTAGAACAATCTGGATGCAGCTGAAGGAAATTTACTCAATTTTTTTTTTAAATATATCTTTACTGATTTCAGAGAGAGGAAGGGAGAGGGAGAGAGAGAGAGAGAAATATCAATGATGAGAGAGTCATTGATTGGCTGCCTCCTGCATGCCCCCAATTGGGGATCGAGCCCGCAACTTGGGCATGTGCCCTGACCAGGAATCAAGCTGTGATCAATCTCTGGGATCCTAGGTCAATGCTCAACTGCTGAGCCATGCACGGCCGGGCTCAAATTTCTTTGTAATTAAATAGGTATAGTACAATTTAGATGGCCTTCACATAACATGGATGCATTAAGTCTGAATGTCAAACCACTTTCTATTCACTGAATTCTATCTGTCCACAGACTATTTTAAAACCAAGGAAATATTCCAATGGAAAATATTTTGTTCCAGAATACTATAAAACTACTCTGAAGATTGTAACCAAGTTTTAAAATTATATATGTAAAGAAAAATAAGTCCAATAAACTGCTACTTAAACATTAACAATATAAAGATTAATAAAACAGCACAAACAAAACTGGATAACATAAAATGATTTCGTAAATGATGTACATCAATTATATGGAGACTTTAAAAAGAATTCTGACGATTATTCAGAAAATATTCATATGACAAATGAACAAGGCAAGTTACAATGTATTATGTATGTCAGGGGTCTGCAAAATAAGGTCTGAGGGTCCACCACCTATTTTTGTAAATAAAGTTTAACTGGGACACAGCTACACCATTTGTTTATGTATCATCTAAGACTACTTTGGAGCTACAAAGGCAGACTTGAATAGTAGACCATGTGGCTCTTAAAACCTAAAATATGCACTATCTGGCCCTTTACAGAAAAACTTTGCCAAGCCCTGATGCTCTTTTACTGACTTTTTAATGTCAGCATTTGTCCTATACATTGTTACAAATGAGCAACACTACTGAAAGTGAAACTGTACTAAGCTTCTAGTAACCCTGAACACATACATATCACCCGATTAATTATAAAAGCCCAACCCTATAGCTTTAATCGTTAGTTTAAGGTCCATTTTCCTCAAGTCTAACTATCCTCAGACTACTGAACACACTTTTAACTCTATGCTCATAGTCAACACCTGAATTTAACTCTCTTTCGTAATCCACAGCTAGAGGCTCCAGTTTTTACCTATATCTTTAGGAAAGAGCTCAGCCTTCAAGGTCCCCCCAAATAGCCTTTCCTCCAGGCACTTTCCCTGAATACATCCTGGAAAAATTCATTGCTCTGGGATCCAATCACACTTTGTTCATATCTGTTATTACAGTACTTCATATGACAGCTTGCTTTTTAGATAGTCCTGCACATCTCTGTATCTCTAGAAAACCCAGGCAAAGGAGTTCTTATAAATGTATATACAATTAGCAGGAAGGTTTCTGACAGCCCCAAAAGGAAGGGAACATCTCAATTTTATTTCAATTGTCTACAAACTTTTTTGACTGTGCAATCCATCATTAAATAAAAGTTATGAGCACACACTCAATATAGGCATTTCTATGTTTTAAATAAATTGTTTATATACATATTACTAATACAGTCTTTAAAATATAAAACATATACAAAATACATACTAAAAAGGATGTTAAAATTTATGGAGAAGTTCTAATATTTTCTTTCCATACTTCAATAGATCATCTTTTAACACTTTGGTGATCACTCAGCTATACAATTCTCATCTAATATGCATGAGCTTCCTTAAACTGTTTTCTAGTAGTAAATTTTTAGAGGAATTTATTGTGTAATCTTCATGAAGAATACAAGTGTCTGCAGTAGTTCTATAAAAAACACAAAGTCAGTATTTGGACACTTCTTTTGTGAACCCCCACAAAAAAACTTGACTTTCAAGGTTTTTCTATGGTGAGTTAAAGTATGTGTTTTAGGGATATAAAGTTCAGATTATTTAACTTGATAAAGAAACAAAGCTTAAGAATCTAGAGAAAGGGCAGATCAACTGGTTCTCTTGTCCTCACTTGAGTATGGATGAACTGACCTGGCTCTGAAAAGTTTATTATTGAAAAGAAGATATAATACCATAAAAATGTTTTAAAGCAAACAAAATCACTTCCAATCCCACCACCTTTTCTTTTCTGCATGTTAATTTCTAGCTCCATACACTTCACGTACAACATATCTTAAAAATTTGTAGTTTATCTTGAACTCCTCATTTCTCTTTACCTTAAGCTCCAAAAATTTGACTCTTCTAATGGGTTGTGACCTCACAAATATGGGACTAAGTATAAAGTTGGGCATACAAACGTTTGAAAACTAGCAAGCTACCTCTAGTGCTTACAGAACATTTTCTCCCTGGCTTCCAGTCACAGCCCATTGCAGCTGGCAGTTCTGCTGGCACAAGTCAGCTTGGGTACACAGTGATTTATTCTAAAACAATGCAACTGATGGCATTCAACTGATTTCTCCTATGTGTCTTTGACTGGGTGTTACTGCGACTTGTTATGAAAGAACAACATGGAAGTCCAGAATTAAAGTTGGTCTCACACAAAAGAAATAACTCAGGATGAACCTTATTGCGACCCACTCTTAAAATCACTTAGTGTTCACCCCCTTCATATAAACTTCTCCAGCAAACGCTAAGCAGATAATAGAGCTTACCATTTCCACTTTTGTGGCAAGCAATGCTTCTTTCTACTCAAAGTAGATTTCACTACAAATTCCATTAGGAAACAAGAAAATCAGTCTAAGTGGGCTAGACTGTATTTTAAGTATACTTAATGAAAATACCTGTTGGTATCCTTACTAATAAACTAATAATAATTTAAAAACAAAACACCTACATTGACATTGTGAGAGGGAAAAAGGACACAATCTCCAAGATCATGGGATTTGAGGTCAAAGTGGGCTGGTCAGATGCCAGCTTCAACACTTACTAATTGTGTGGCCTTACTGTGATATTGGGCAAGTCACTTACCCTGAGTCAACTTCATCTTCCTTAAAATCAGGAAACTAAGTACTTTCTTAATTCTGATGTCTGTAATAAAGCACCCAAGTTGAGCTTGGCACAGAGAAGATCATCACTGAATGGTAGCTAAATTCCTTCCCAACCCGTTGTCTGGGTATCTTCTGTTTAGCCCCCAGTCTCCATCTCCATCTTACATGCAGCAAACACTTATTAAGCCCCGATGGTGCAGGCCCTGTAGGGGACACGGAGATGAAGATGGCCGGGCTCCTGTCCTCAGGGGACACTCCGTAGTGGGGAAAGAGATTGCAGACAGCAAGATGGCAATATAGACAACAGTGAGAGGAAGCTCTAAGACAGGAGCATGAGCTGTTGGCCTGCACACGCTGCAGGCCCCAACCTGCTGCCCCGCCCCGCCCCGCAGCCGGGCCCTAAGGGTCCAAACCTCACACCCACCGCAGGCCTGCCCCTTAGGCTCAGGCCTGCCCCTTAGGCTCCGGCCTTCCCTCTGCCTAGCT